AGAGCCCTATCTGATTTATCGCTCAGTGAAATGGAAGCTTTCACATGAAATTATGTTGCCTCAGCCTTGTGTTTTAATTGATCAGAGGCTGAAATGTTTCATCAGTCTAAATTAGCATATTTAATTTCCAGTGGATTGGAAATTAAATATTTTTGGCCCCAACTGTTTTTGCAAATGATTGAACAAATACTTCTAAAAAGTTCTTTAATTATATGGTCACGAGTTAAAACTGCCTTCCAGATAATCATTTCTGCATTTCTCAAATAAATACAGAGGGACTTGGAAGAGTTTGGTTCATACTGACATGATAGCATCATGCAGCTTAATGGCATGATGGTTATCCTGCTGGAAGCAGGTGTCAGAAGAAGAATACATAAAGGGGTGGAGATGGTTAACTACACTACTCAAGTAGTCTGAGGTGACTAAACAATGCTCAGCGGGGTCTTAGAGGGCCTAAAGTGTGCCTAGAAAATAGCCTTTTTGTGTCATGTTAATTATGTTTCCCTCTTCCTGTTCAAGATAGTGTCTCTTTATGTGTTGACTCAGTTGTGTCTGCAGCTGTGTTCCCCACCTGTTCACTATTACCTGTGTCTTCCCCTGTCCTTTGTTGCGTTGTCCCACTTACTGTAGCTGTGTGCTTTGTGCTTTGGTGAGCAATCTGCATTAAAACAGTTTTTTTATGCTTGCTTTCCAAGTTCTGTGTTTGGGTCTACAATGTGCCTGCCACACAGCTGTTTTTATTGGCATTAGCATCTTGAGTTGAGTGAGGATATTATTGTGTCATTTTACTGATCCAGATGTTTTCATCTGCCCAGTTACTCCCCACTTTAGATTACTAAAGTGGGGAGTAACTAAAGATTTACTTTAGATTAATCTTACACTTACACTTTTCAGGAACTAACCACTTAACTCCAAAAAGTAAAGAACATACTCTTTTTCAAACAGCTGGATATCATCTAAATGCAACCCCACATACTGTGTGTTTTCCCAACTTTCCTTTACATGCCATCTCTAGAACAGTGCCTATGAAAGCTAATAATCAAATTCAATTGAAAAAATGTTGCATAAAAAAGCTTAGTAAACGTGATACTATACTGCAAAAGATTATGGTGAGAATCAGCATGCAGTTCGAGATTCACATTAAGGGCTTCACAGCTATAATGCACAATGTGAGACAAAGCAGCAGGAGATAAATGGATAAAGTGGAAAACCGCATTAAAAACATGCAGGATGCTGCAGAGGTTCTATGAATGCACTGAGCAGAAGTAATTGAGGTATGTCATGGGATTCAGTGACATCTTTTCATTGTCACTTTGAATCTGGCTCCGTTCTTTGAAGAGTTTTCTAAGGTGAAGCAGGTGACAAAGCTGCTCCTCTGATGACAACAAAAGAGCGTTTTCAAGCCTGTAAGTCATACAAGTTTTAGTGGTTTCAGATGCTCATGAAATAAAACTGACACAAGTAAAGTCACATGATATTATTAGAAGAGAGAAAAGCTTATTTTCCATGTTTGCTAAGTTCCTGCTATTTTACTTTTATAAAATGGAACAATTTAACAATCATGATGCAGTTACCTGCTGTTTTAAACCTGGTCATTCAGCTTTTTAGCTATTCAGTTTTCATCAGTATCACCACACACAAACTGCTCTTGTAAAGATATTAAATGATATTTGCCTGAACCCAGACTCAGGCAAACTGACTACCATAGTACTGTTTGATCTTAGTGCAACATTTAACATTTCTAATTGAAAAAGTACTATTGGACAGATTAGGAAATGTGATTGGTCTCATGGGAATGTGAAATACAGATATATGGCATGTGTATATTTACAACACACATGTCATATCTGTGTTTCACATTTCTCACACTATCTGAAGATTACATATGTGTCCTGTGTCCTTCCTCTGAGACTTGGTACACTTTATCATCATACATGGGAAATACCTTATTCATTGTCACCAATGACTCATGACTCAAATGACCGCATGCATGACTATTCAACAAAGAAAAAAAAATCTCCAATCCTTCTTTCAGCTGCTCCAGCAGTGTCTACTCTTGTCTTTGACACTTATTTAGGTATCGTTTGAATCAGTACAAAATATACCAAAAAAAAAAAAAAACTATTAACATGGGTAAATAATAATGAAAGTGCTATCAGTATTTCACCACCATTTACAAGAAACCACAGGTGCATCCTGGTTTAGGTCAAAACAACCTTCAAATTGGAAGAAGCAAACAGTAAGAGTAAAAATCCAAACATATCGTTAATTAGACTTGAAAGTGTCATGTCTCAGATTATTGCAATAAACAGTGAAGTGTTAGACTTTATGTTGCCACTGTAGCCAGTTCTTACTCGGATGCATCAAAAGTAAGAAAATAAACTGTAACTGCAGCATGAGTAGTTCTGGAAAAGGTCATATTTAATAATTTGGTTACATAAAAAAAAGAAGAAAACACACACACACACACACACAAACTTTGCTATACAACAAAATCTAAAAAGTGCTTGTTTTTTAAAATATGAAATAACAAGAATATAATGTATATAAAATATATGTAAAAATTCAGGCTGATGTAAGACAACTCCAGGAAGTTACTATGTGTAGTTAGTATGTGCACGATGTCAATTTCAGATTTAAATAAGTCAATTTTTATTTTTTTTAAATTTATTTGGCCAGTGCCAGACTCAATAATCACAGGGCTGAGCAATGAACAACCATACAAAAACGTGCTGAAATGCATTTTAAAAAATATGACAGATTACGGTATGAATACACTTATGTGCCTATATGGGCCATCAGCACATTATTTGAAAGCAATATGACAATTGCTATAAGCACATATGTATATGTGTGCGTGTGTGTGTAGAGAGAGAGAAAGAGAAGAGAACACGCTCTTATTTTGAAAGTTCAGCTGGCGCTCACCAGTTAGCGCCCTCCCTTCCTGTGTCCTATTTTCCAACATACGGGACGGTCAGCTGGAGACTCTGAGAGCGGCGTCATGCGTCGCTTAAATGTTGCTTTACTGAGGCTGCAGAGGAGATTTAGGGTGCTTTGTTGGAATGTTAGGTCCTGTATTTTGTAGTTTACAGACGTTTTGGTGCAAAATCTGAAACCTTTAAATATCTTTGGACTGTTTAAAGAAACAAGCACAAACAAGCTTGAGTAAGTCCGAACATAGTGCTTATCGTACTTGGCCCAGCATTTAATTTCCAGTGAGTGTGGTCACTTTAGATAGTCACAAATAAGAGCTTTACGCAAACCCCTTCAACTTATGTTAATTCAATAAGGCATGAATGCCAAACATGAAGGACTATTGTTGGTCAGGGTGTCAACTTTCTCCATATATTTATGTCTCCCTATATTTCCTGTTTAAAATATATATATTTTAAAAAGTGGGATGCAAATTTGTCCACACAATGGTAAATTAGGAACATATAGATAAATCGTTTTCAGCAGGATCAGTCAGCTATGTACCAGAATCCAGCACAGCACACATAGAGTTAACCACCGGTTGTGAATGTGCATCCTCTTTATCTCCCATTCAGAAAAATCAGTCAACCAGCAAAATTAGAGGGTGATCACAGTGGGAGCTAACTATGGTTTTGATTATATGCTTGGTGCATATGAAAGGTTAGGTATGCATACATTTCATCTCCACCCACAGTACTGAACCTTCAACAATTCCCCCAGCTGCACAGTGCCCTGAGACAGTCCCAGATATTGGCACATTTAAGTATTGATTATACACCAGGGCAGAACACACACAAAGGGAGAGCTTTTAAATTAATATTCACTTTGCAGCAGAAACATGGCAATTATGCCAGATGGTAACTACGCTTGTTTTAGTGTGAAGAAAAAACAAAAAGATTTCGATGGATTGAATGAAGAGTTATTGTCATCATAAGGTGTACAATGAAATTCAGCTTGACTTTTTCTCAAGATAAAAACAACAATAAACAAATAGAATGTATTGGGGTGAACCACAGTTCAAGTTGTCAGTGAGGGAATGTTCTCCCTCAGACACCTCAACAAGATTATGTTATAACTCTACATTGACAGTCTGACCCTGGGAGACAGTTTCACTCAGCACCACTGGGAACGTCAAAGAAAACAAGAAGCATGCTTCTGATCACGCTCATCTCCTGTTGTGTCGTCTTTGGGGATACTGCGGGCTCTTTATCTGAAGACCGCTGATTGGTGCCTGAATTCTTGGGAGACATGAAAAATGTGTCTGTTTAAAACAAAAGTTGTTATTTGTTTTCTGTGCAGGTCTGCAGGTCCATAGTGAAATTGCAATATATACAATGTGTAACCAGGCAACACAGGACTTTGAGAGAGCTATGTTTGGCTCGTTAGACGTGGTTCTAATCAGCATTAGAAGACAAAGTGACTAGAAGCCAAATTCAGGTAATACAGTCAGTTTGGGCCTTGTACATTAATTTTGCATAAATATTTATCCATAAAACTGTGTTTGCAAAAACTGAAGATGAGGAATACACTTCAAACATACAAAAACAGCTTAGTGTAGGCAACCTGTATAGTCACATATTAATATGTCCACCAAGCTGTGGAGGAGATGAACAAAAGCTAACTAATTTCCGACTGATACCTTCTCTTTAAAAACCACTGCTACGCCACTCTAACAACGAGGTTTAAGGAAAATTACCAGCTACACATGGAATTGTGTGAAAGTATGTTTTACAGTCTACTGAATTAAAACTGAAAGCTGAGTATCTGCAAGGGTTTTTATCCTCAACCTCAAGGGGGTTCTGAGTGAAGGGAGCGCAGCTCGTATTCCTACTTTAATATCATCATAGTCATTCGAATTTAAGTGTTTGCAATGGAAAGAACTATAAATGTTGTTTTAAATGTCTGCCTGTGTTTGAACATTCATGTCTGAGAGTCTGACGTGCAGGAAGGATGACAGAAAAGGGGAGAGCATGTGTGTGCGCGCAATATGTTTGTATGTGTGTAACTGCAAGTGAGGCTGGAGGAGAGTGCGACAGACCAGGAGGAGAGTGGAGTGAAAGAGCCGCACATTGTTCAGACTTAAGGCTTCAACCTGAGTTTACGCAAAGGAATAACAACACAGGGACACACTGGAGGTAAGAGCATTTATATCCAGTAAAAAGCTAGAGATGCTCCAGTGCAGAGCTGCAGTAAATCACTGTAATTTTTATTCACTATCTGATATAGGAGGCACTTCATCGTTCAGACTAAAATAAATCTCGGGTGTCATTGTTTAATCAACCAGTTCATTAAACTACTACTTTGTAATTACCTTTGTTTACACAGTAACAGCGCTTTACTGAGGATTGCAGATCTCTCTCTTAATTCTACATGTGATCAAGTCAATATTTACTTGAAAAGGAAGAGATTCGATTTCTTTCAGCTCATAAGTTCTTTTACAAGTGTCACATACAAGTTTTTATTGAATCCAAAACAATGCATTTCTGGCTTTTTTGTATCTTGGTGCATCAGCTGTTAATTTACCAATCAATCAGTTATTACGTCTTTACATATTGTAAAGTAGATGAATGAGGTTCAAACACTCGCAGGTCTTTTTCTTGTGGCATTAACTCCATTACAGACTATTACATGATTTGACTTGTTTAGAACAAAGAACGTGTTGAATGAATGAAAATGTGATGAGTCAAAAATGATAAAAGCAGTGAGGTATAAAAATAAATCATGAATATTGCAAGATACAGAAAAAAATACAGAAAAGGGAGATATGTTCTGTGTTCTCTTTTTTTGTCTGTGTTCTCAGTGCCCCCAAATGAATTGAAAAGTGTGCACTGTTATTAAAGTCTGACTTATAGTCAGACATTAAAGTTCCCTGTTTGGCATTTGTATAATTCCTGCAATCCTGTACTGACTTCATGCAGTTTTAAAGCTTGTGAAAAAACACTCCAACCCATCAAGATATGACATTTTTGACTTTCATAAGAGATGGTGTCATGGAGACTTTGCTGAAACAGGTTATTTTTGTCCACTGACATGATTCGGACTCACGATTTTGATTATTTATTAAATCATAGCAGAAAAGTGAAAAGTATGGTCTCTACTTCAGGGACAAAAGCTCTGACAACTGGAAAAAGCTTCTGGGTAACATATGGATTGTGGTGTTGTGTTAACAGCTGCAGACTAGATAATTGATTGCATTGCTCACTGGCCTCAAACAATGACCAATTAACATTCAAAAAAGGATGCTTTTCCATTTTCCTCAGTGATTTCTATAAGTGGCCAACATGTGATCAAATATACAATCTTTCAGAAAGCGATTCTTACTCATTTTAGGGCAATACATGTTACTTCCATAGTTCATCATTGCTTTCTACACCTATTTAGCATCTTCTGTAAAGTTGAATTCCTTTAATGCAACTCTGTTTAAAACAGTTCAGGCTTGTATAAACTATATTGTATTATCTATTGTTTAATTCAGTTTAATGCACATCAGTTTAATTTGATACATTTCAGGGCTGTGACAGATTGAATTGAAACTTAATTCCATTAAACTGAATTAAAAAGTTTCTTCTACCCGCCTTGAGGTCTGGCATTGTCACGCAGTAGATACATTTGTCTGAATAATTTAAAAAAATGTAATAAAAAGAAATTGTCTATAGAGACTTAGACACAAAACAAATGTGTCTGGCACAACGGGGCATTCAGATCATGATTGTGCCTGCTAAAGCTGCCCGACAGGACAGGTTAAAAAAAAAACTACAGTTCACGGCAGTGTACACGCAGGTGTTATGTCAGCCAGAACGATGTGGTATTCTGTTCTGGCACCAAACTAAATAAATCAGTCCATTTGCAAGTTTTATACATAGCAATGTCAAGTGGGTTCATGTTTTGCAGCTGCCAGGCAGATATTCAGTCAAAGAGACAGAAACTAATGTTACTCCAAGGTCCTACATCTGCAATCAAACCACAAACTTTGTTCCTTTTCATCCTTGTCTATGAATTCTTACCTTTAGATCTCAGTAAACTCACAATCACTGTTCTTATATCCAGCAAAGCTACTGTACCTATTGATGAGTAGTAAAGGTAAAAATATTTCCTTTTTATCTGAAGTGGTAGGTTGTTTTAAATGTAGACCTTTAAGGTGTAAAAAAAAATGTAATAAAAAGAAATTGTCTATAGAGACTTAGAGACAAAACAAATGTGTCTGAAATTATAAATATTTTTTTATTGATTGGCTCAATTGTTGCCTCAAGGTGCTTTATGATGTAAGGTAAAGACCCTACGGTAATACAGAGAAAACCCAAATAATCAAATGACCCCTATAAGCAAGTAAGAGTAAGAGAACCAGGCTCAGGCCATTGGCCGTGCCCAGGTGGGGCAGACTGTGGAAGACAGCCAGAGTTTAATAATGAATAATTTTAAAATTAGTGCAAGTTTAAAATGGCTATATTTTAATAATGGACAATTTTGCGTGGTGCAGAGCATCTTGTGGTAGCCATAGTTACTATGAGCCATCAGTCACACGGGCCAAGAGACGGTGCCGGGAGGTTGCTGGAAGTCCAGAAAGTGATCCAAAAGAGGGTGCTAGAATTGTCTTTGTCTAGTTTATGCCAATAGTTTTCCCGCAGACCTTTCTGGGAGTAATGTTACTATATATCAGATACAATATGAAATTCTAATATTATAATATTCAAGATACAATAATTGATGAAATACTGATGACAATTTTGCACAATGTGAAAGAAAACAATCATAGGGCCTAATTTTATATGTGAGACATACAGGCCAATGCATCAAAGGTTGGCCAAGGTAACAACATCCAGAGTACCTTGTTATCCTGCCTCTCACTTTTTTAGGGCTGAAACACTTTAGTTTATTCTAATTTTAGAATTAGAACATTACAGGTCATCCATGCTTTTTTGTCTTTAAGGCTTGGTGAAGTGAAACTTATTGTTTCATGGATATAAAAAGCATAGTGTGCAATGAAAGTAGAATATATACAACTGAGGGTAATAATACTTGATGTCAAAAGCATATGTGAACCCTTTCTAAACAATTTTTAAACTAATTTGTACTCCAGCTGTGTTATATTTGGTCAAATAACCGAATCAATACACTTTTATGTAACTATGTAGTGTAATTTTTTCTTTCTTCCTATAATAACACATCTGAAAATAGGCCTACAAGATGCTGATTTGCATCCATAGCCACTGGGCAGGTCACTTGAAACTGTAACACTGTATACAGAGTGTACCGCCACCTTATGACAACTGAGATAGGGTCCAGCGTGTCCCGATCTTGAATTGGTTTAATGGAAGAAAATGGAGAGATGGAACAGTATATCACACAAAAATGAATTGGCAAGATGGTAATACGATCGGAATCTCTCAAATATATAACTTGTAAAATTCCTAGACAGACAGCTACAGTGGGGAAAAAAAGTATTTAGTCAGCCACCGATTGTGCAAGTTCCCCCACCTAAAATGATGACAGAGGTCAGTAATTTGCACCAGAGGTACACTTCAACTGTGAGAGACAGAATGTGAAAAAAAAATCCATGAATCCACATGGTAGGATTTGTAAAGAATTTATTCGTAAATCAGGGTGGAAAATAAGTATTTGGTCACCTCAAACAAGGAAAATCTCTGGCTCTCACAGACCTGTAACGTCTTCTGTAAGAAGCTTTTCTGTCCCCCACTCGTTACCTGTATGAATGGCACCTGTTTGAACTCATCATCTGTATAAAAGACACCTGTCCACAGCCTCAAACAGTCAGACTCCAAACTCCGCCATGGCCAAGACCAAAGAGCTTTCGAAGGACACCAGGAAAAGTATTGTAGACCTGCACCAGACTGGGAAGAGTGAATCTACAATAGGCAAGCAGCTTGGTGTGAAAAAAATCAACTGTGGGAGCAATCATCAGAAAATGGAAGACATACAAGACCACTGATAATCTCCCTCGATCTGGGGCTCCACGCAAGATCTCATCCCGTGGGGTCAAAATGATCATGAGAACGGTGAGCAAAGATCCCAGAACCACACGGGGGGACCTGGTGAATGACCTGCAGAGAGCTGGGACCAAAGTAACAAAGGTCACCATCAGTAACACACTACAACGGCAGGGAATCAAATCCCGCAGTGCCAGACGTGTTCCGCTGCTGAAGCCAGTGCATGTCCAGGCCCGTCTGAAGTTTGCCAGAGAGCACATGGATGATACAGCAGAGGATTGGGAGAATGTCATGTGGTCAGATGAAACCAAAGTAGAACTTTTTGGTATAAACTCAACTCGTCGTGTTTGGAGGAAGAAGAATACTGAGTTGCATCCCAAGAACACCATACCTACTGTGAAGCATGGGGGTGGAAACATCATGCTATGGGGCTGTTTTTCTGCCAAGGGGACAGGACGACTGATCCGTGTTAAGGACAGAATGAATGGGGCCATGTATCGTGAGATTTTGAGCCAAAACCTCCTTCCATCAGTGAGAACTTTGAAGATGAAACGAGGCTGGGTCTTCCAACATGACAATGATCCAAAACACACCGCCCGGGCAACAAAGGAGTGGCTCCGTAAGAAGCATTTGAAAGTCCTGGAGTGGCCTAGCCAGTCTCCAGACCTCAACCCCATAGAAAATCTGTGGCGGGAGTTGAAAGTCCGTGTTGCTCGGCGACAGCCCCAAAACATCACTGCTCTCGAGAAGATCTGCATGGAGGAATGGGCCAAAATACCAGCTACTGTGTGTGCAAACCTGGTAAAGACCTATAGTAAACGTTTGACCTCTGTTATTACCAACGAAGGTTATGTTACAAAGTATTGAGTTGTATTTTTGTTATTGACCAAATACTTATTTTCCACCCTGATTTACGAATAAATTCTTTACAAATCCTACCATGTGGATTCATGGATTTTTTTTCCACATTCTGTCTCTCACAGTTGAAGTGTACCTCTGGTGCAAATTACTGACCTCTGTCATCATTTTAGGTGGGGGAACTTGCACAATCGGTGGCTGACTAAATACTTTTTTGCCCCACTGTATAAGCACCAGATCTATTCTCAGTTTTGTATCCAAACTTGTATGGATGCAGGATGTATTTGTTATTCATTGCACTGCGTACACTGTGTTATTTCTTGGAATAGAATGAGAATCAACATATTCTGTGTCATTATATCCAAGCTTCTCTCTAAAAATGCAAATATAGTCAAATCCTTTTGCATTTTTCTTCCAATAAAATAGAATTAACTTGGACATCAGGGACTAGAACATGGAAATACTTATGACACTACATCTAATTTATGGCAAGCTAGTACACTCTGCAGTTGCAGGGGAATAGTTTGTGGTATATAATTCATTGTAATGCATTAGATGTGCCCAGTGCAGTAGTATGCAGAAAACATGCCAGATCACTCAGCACATTTTCTGTCCACATATCCCAGAAGGTTTTAATCACCAAGTAAAGTACATAATACTTAGTGCAATGCACTGCACAGAAACTCTGCTAGAGGTATAGGGGCTCCTCCATCACATGTAATTGTTGAATAGACTCCTTGTGGTGTTTTCCACTAAAGTTTTATGAATCTGGGAAAGAAACCATTTCCTTTCATTAACACCATCGACTTGGAGTATTAGATCTTACCGACTTCTCAGAAATTTAAATTTAGCTGCTACACCAGGTGCTTTAGCTAATACCAGAGCTATTATAGTGTCTTTGGAAATATTTAACTGTTTATCCACCAGAAAATAACAAATTACCACAAAGGGCGAGTAACAAATACCCTGAAAATTAGAAAAGAAGTTTACTTCCTTTTCTGTCACTCAGTGTGAATACACCCATCACAAACTCAGTCTTTTAAGCTATCTTTGTGATGCCATATTAATAAATAAGTGTGTTGTACAGCTCTCTCCGTGCCCTTTTATGTGATATATTACTCAATATGGTTTCTCTGAATTTTTTTTCAATGTCAACTTTGACCTTAGGCGCTAACACTGAACTACCTAGGTATTCTGCAAGGCCTGACATATTGTTTGAAGTTTGAAGACGATCGAATGAGGTGAACTCCAGCTTTGGTCGACTCTATTTTTTTCTTTTTTTGCCCCTGTCACAACTTTTTTGAATTTTGTTACTGGCATCGAATTCATAAATTAGCATACAGCTTTTAAAAGTCAATAAAATGTCACCGTCTCAACATTAGACATGTTCCGTTTGATGTGTGCCAATGACATACGGTACAGTCAATGTTAAATAGCTCCCCACTAACAAAATAAACTAGTGTCATTCATCATTTACCATTATGTGGATATTCAAAGAGAGAACTGTATCCCACCACTTTCACTAATCCTCGTCTTTTCCACCCACCTGACATCAAATGGCCGAGGGAATGGAAAACAGAAGAATGCCAGATTGGACACGTATTGTATTGCAGGCTCCTCCTGCCTCCAAGTGTAGATGTGTCAGCCTGTGCAGGTGAAATAACTCTAAAGAAATGATAAATAGACTAATAAATTGTGCTTGTAATAGTTTTTTTCTGAATGTCAATAAATCCCATGAAAAGTCACAAACTAGCAATTACTTTATACTGCAAGTGTTGCTAAATGCAGCCTGAATCCTTTGCCAGTTCAAGTAATATTTGCAAATAACTGTAGCAGCAAATTGGAAAAAAGAAAAATATTCAGCTCCTTAACAAAAAAATCCACTAATTTTGTCTTTTTTCCTTTTTGGTTCTTGGCTGAGTGGATGCTTAACAGAGCATTATCGATGGAGCTGCAGCTGAGAAAGTCTCTGAGCGGGCAGAGTGGTTAGAGCAAGCCAAAACAGCAACATCACGGATCTGAAAAACAAATAACAAAAGGAATAAGAACAAGTGTCTGAAAAATCTGTTATTTTACTGAAAAAAAATGTGATAGCAACAAAATATAGACTGGAAACAGTCGCTTCCTCAAAAATACAGATTTAGTGTCTGTTGGTCCCTCTTTCAAACATCTCTCACAGAAGAATTTGTGCTTGACTGTATTTCACAGACCTGTGTTTGATGTCAACAAAACAGTGTGACTGAGGATGTTACCTTTCACATTAGTTTCCAGAACATCATCACACATCTTAAAGCTTTTAAAGATCTATATGTGCAGGAAACAGCAATTTCAGCTTATTCAACCACTCAGAAGTTAAGTAAAAACAACAGTAACAACTGATGTAATTAAAATTGAGAGAACTGGTGGGGAAAGATGTAGAAAGATGGACAAAAGGTTGTTAAAAAGGATCTAATTTAGATGTCATGACAAATGTGTTGTGACAGAGATGTATAATGACTCACTCATTACTTATTAACTCATCAGTAATTTATCTACTCTACCTCGTTTGTTAGTGTGATACACCATACTGAGCAGCCAGTGAAAAATCACTCATTTTTTCATCATTATAGTTTTTAGTTGGCAAACCAGTGTGAATGTCAGCTGAAATATTTGACCACGGAGTTGTGTGGAAAGGCACATTCTGCTTTCATGGTTGATGTTAAATATTCCTGTCTTGAATAATAATTGGAGAAATAAAAAGTGCAGATAGATAACTGCACGTACATCAGTCAGTGACAAAAGTCTCTTTGGCCACATTGAAGGTGAGTTCAACAGTCCAATCTCACTAAAATTCAGTTCAATTAAATCTTATTTACACAGCACCAAATCACAACAACAGTCGCCTCAAGATGCTTTAAATTGTAAGGTAAAGACCCACAATAATACATACAGATTGTTATTATGACCCCCTGTGAGCAAGCCCTTTGGTCACAGTGAGAAGGAAAAACTCCCTTTTAACAGGAAGAAAGCTCCGTCAGAAACAGGCTCAGGGAGGGGCGGGGCCATCTGCTGCCACCGGTTGGGGAAAGAGAAGGAAAGAGAGAGACAGATTCAAAAAGGTTAAAATAAACACTTTAGGGTATAAAGGTTAATAATGGTTAATTGATAATTTTAAGCTAATCAAGATGAGGAATCATTTGCTTAAAGTAAATTGAACTACTAATTACTCAATATCTTTTGGTTATAATTGCTAGGGATGGGTATTGATAAGATTTTCACGATTCCAATTCCATTTTCGATTCTGTTTAATGATTCGATTCTTTATCGATTCTCTTATTGATTCTTATTTTTAAAAAAGGAGAACACTAAGGTCGATTAGCTTGGAACTTTGTTTTATATCTTCTCTTTGAACAAGATAGAAATTTAGGAGTAACATGGCCTTAAAAACCCAACAGTGAGATCTTAAGAGATCCAGCCTACGGCTCTTCAATGGGGTGTCACAGGGTCCCCCAGGGAGAAAAATTGTAAATGTAAAATAATAAAATAAATATTCTTCTGTAGCAATAACAAAGTATAACATAAATTATTCTGTAGCAATTACACAAGAATATCCAGTAATGTCCCTGCCTACAATTAAACACATTCACTTACCGAAAATCGGGGCATCTGCTGTGGCAAATGGGTGCAAGCCTTTGACCACAAACTCAGTCACTGCTCGGTGACATTTGTCTGAAAGGAGACGCTAATGGTAGACTGCAGTGAGAACTGCCAACATCTGAGCCAGCCAGACTCTGTCTCTCTCATCATGGTCACCTAAATGCACAGTAATGGCAGGTTTTGTAATAAGGAGCGGAATTAAAAACACGACATTCATTTAAGGTGATTGTGTGTTTTGTGAGCAAATGCTTTTGCATATTCGTAGTGTTTCCTCCCTTAAATGAAATATCTACTTTTCAAGTATTGCAAGTTCCCTGTTGTCATCCGTTCTCGTAAAGTACCAAACTTTTGAGCGTGGTGACATCATTCGCTGCGACTGGAATTGATAAGGGAATCGTTTGCAAAAATAATACTTGCTATACAAATACATGAGGAATCCAGTAATCAATTCATAATCTGTTGCACAGCCTCTGATTTCTTTATATTTTCTTATTTTCTTTTCTTTCTTTTTTTTGCAACATGAGGTTATTTCCTGAAACAGGTGCAAACATGAAAAGGAAAACTCCTTGGTGGTTAGACATAAAGAAATGGAGGTGGCTCAAAGCTTTTGCACAGTGCTGTAATGATTCTCATATACATATAGATGAACATTACCTGACAATTAAGTGATATGGTAAGTGCCAGAAGTAACACTTTCTTTATCTGCTATATAGTCCTGCGTTCAGGGTTCAGGTAGGAAATACTCTTAGTTTAATAATTATCACGCAGTTCTTGATTCTTTCCTTACTTATTTTGAAACTCATTATTTATCCTCACTATTCAGTGTTGTCTACTGTGTGTTCAACTGGATTGATGCTAATAACGGTTTCCTCTACTTTTTTCCAGCCAGTGAGCTCGGCTAAGTTGGCAGGATGTCAGCTTTCAACTGTTCATTTGATTTAATAACTGAAAACGAAGAGTGGCTTTGTCCTAAAGGAGAAGCGTGCACCAATATTACTCATGCCGTGAATGGGACCTTTCATAATCTCACACATCTGACAGAGGAGGGGTACCTGGAAAAATATCTGGGTCCTCGTCGATCACCTGTGTTCCTCCCCATCTGCCTGATGTATCTGATCATCTTCCTGGTAGGCGTTGTGGGGAATGTGCTGACGTGCACCGTCATTGCACGCAACAAAGTCATGTGGACACCAACAAACTACTACTTGTTCAGCTTGGCCGTGTCAGACCTGTTAGTGCTACTACTTGGCATGCCATTAGAGCTGTATGAGCTGTGGCAGAACTACCCCTTTCTTCTGGGAACGGGAGGTTGCTACTTTAAGACCTTCTTATTTGAGACGGTCTGCTTGGCATCCATCCTAAACGTGACGGCACTGAGCATAGAGCGTTACATCGCCGTGGTCCACCCTCTGCGAGCAAAGTATTATGTGACACGTACTCATGCTAAGAGAGTCATTCTCACTGTTTGGGGTGTATCAGTTTTGTGTGCTGTGCCCAATACAAGCCTGCATGGGATTGTCTTCTTGCACAGTTGTTCCACAGACCCTGCTGGAACCATAAATGTGGAGATTCCCGACTCAGCCATGTGCACATTAGTGAAACCACGCTGGATGTACAACCTGACAATCCAGATGACCACCTTGCTGTTTTTTATTCTGCCCATGCTCACAATCAGTGTTCTTTACATGCTCATTGGGCTGCAGCTAAAGCGTGAAAAGATGCACCAGGAACTGGAGCCAAAATCTGGTTTCGGACAAGATAGCTGCTGTAACATCCGCACACAGCAGCAGAAGGCACGTCGCCGGCAAGTCACTAAAATGTTGTGTAAGTATATGGATCTGCTAATGTGCCAATTTTTACCTTCTAGTTCACAGTCTTGTTATGTAGTTTGTGCAGAATTGAGTGCTTAGTTAGAGTTAGTTAACTTTACCTTTAGGGACACTGCTGGTGTGATCACATAATCCCATCCCATATGGATAGTAAGTCTGTAGTCTGATATAAATCAATAAAAAAAATGTTTTAATAAGGAAAACAAGAAGAAAGGGTTAACTCAAGTGTCACTTTGTTATATTCTATCAGAAACATAGCTTTGAAAGGGTTTGTCATGGCTCACGTGTGCTTTTGCATCACTCAGTGGTGAAGGTGAAGTTAAATTGCCAATCTTTCTCAGATGTGACATAAATAATTTATTGACCTCTATTTCAAAGCAGCGTTCGGTTGCATGATAGTAAGACCTCTAGGGTCATTGTCATCCTCCTCTCAGGTCATATTCCTTCAACAAAGTGCAAAATATCGAAGCGTTGTGACTTTGAAAAGGTCATAGTATTCTTGGAAGATTTTCATCAATATGCCTGAAAGGAAGAGATCAAAGGAGCTCACAGAAAGGTAGGCAGTTCGTGCCCAACTGTCAAGAAAAGTCACTGAATGCTTTTGATGAAAGCAACAGAAACAGCTCCAGCTTTTGATACCCAGCAGGGGACTTGCAGTCAGAGCCTGCAAAAAAACCTGTCGAACTGTGTGATTATGAACATCAGTGTGCTTCTTGTTTTTTCAAGCAAACAATATTCTAGATAGTTCAAGCCAAATACAACAAGCTAGTTCTGTCAGTTTATTTTTAATTAGCAGCTTCTTCTCAATGTACATCTTATATGCTTTGTAAAATTCAGAACAGATCATAACTATGTGAAGTTACCGTTTCACCTCTTAGAGTACACTCACACAGACTGAACCAAATTCAGGAAGTGTTCATGTTCATTCATTGTCTTTGCAAAGGTGAGATGTGCACACTGTACAAGACACCTTTGGAATAACAGAGTGTTTTTCTGAACATGGCAGCACTAAAAGAAGTATTTTCACTGAATTCACTTGAGGAGATGATATAAATCCCTGGGAATGTTCTGGATACAGTTTAACCGACCTTTGAAAAGTTGGGCCAAAACAAAGCAGAAGATTTTTTTCTGGTAACTGTTCTCTTTTCAACTTACGTCCTCTTTCATTAGTGTGTCTCATATTTTTCTTCAGCATCTACAATATTGCCACTTTTTTTAAACATCTTTTTATTCAACGATGTGACAGGTTCTGTTAAAATAAAAATCAATCCTCAAGTTTGGTGAATAAATTTCCTTGGAAATGTAAATGCCTCAAAAAAACTTGTACTCTGCCGGTTAGTCTGTTAAGACACAAGAAAACTGAAATTAGCTTCAAAGTAACACAAAAAAATCTTTTTTTTCACTTCATTTTTTATTAGTTGTAATTTTCAGCCACAATAATCCAGTCGACAAGTCTGCCAGACAGAATAATGTCTCAACTAATTAGAATGCACAATTAAAGTTCAAACAACAATTAGAGATGAGGAAAATGTGGTCTGGCATTTTGAAAAATTCTTGTTGTCTTGTTGTCTTTTGTATGAGATGTTCTTTGAAGTGATGACTGTTATTTGGCTGGGAAAGGGCTAAAAATGAACACAGGTACCTAAATCAAGGTTTAAATACTCATATATTGCATCGGTTAAGCATGAGGAAAACACGTTGAAACATCCCCTCTCATTGTGTTCTTGTCTCTCTCGTGCTGTTTTTCAGTTGTCTTGGTTGTGGTTTTTGGAATCTGCTGGGCTCCATTTCACACTGACCGGCTAATGTGGAGTTTCATCAGTGACTGGACTGACACCCACTTGGAAATCTTCCAGTATGTGCACATCACCTCCGGAGTGTTTTTCTATCTCAGCTCAGCAGTCAACCCGATCTTGTACAACCTCATGTCAACACGCTTTAGAGAAATGTTCAAGGAGGTCATGTGCCATCGGCCACATCCCATCACTCCCAGAAAACATTCGCTCAGTGTCACCCGGGTGACGCTCCGCAGTACCCTGAGTGACGCGGCGCTCAGCAACGGAGCTGCTGTTGTTGAGGCAGAAGACGAAGAAGTGAGAATGAAATATGAGACCAGTTTTTCTTGTTAAAAACAAACAAACACATTTTATGTCATGTTATGGGGGACACATTAAGAGAGACTTGCTTGTTCTGAGCCAGTGCATCCATCAGCTGTCATCAACATCCAGTCTGCACAGATGCATCAGCAAAATATCTAAAATAGTCTTAAGTGGAAGAGTTGCAGAAAAAAAGTGCACTCCTCTGCTGAAGCTGTCAGGCCACTGTCTGTTTTGAAAACTTAACCCATAACTCAGCAAACCACACACCCCACATGAACACTAAACTTTTTTAAGAGGGGAGGCTTATGCTGATCAAGCTATAAAATATGTTCCATGAATGTACACACCCATCGGTTTATAAAGTTCTCAATACAGGTCACTACTACAGTATACATTGCAAAAAAAAAGAACTGCAGTACATGTGGTTACATTACTTTGTTGTTACTCCAAAAAGCACATTGTTACATAATTACCAGTTAACAATATAAACCTCCCAATCTACTTCTGATTATCCTAGGAACCACAAGTAAGCCTGCAGTCTGTCAGTGAAGTGCTCGATTTGGATGATATGATCCTGTGAGGTCTTTAAGATCAGCCTGACTATTTAAGATCTTGCATGTCAGGGGGAGGATTGTAAATTAGATTCTGGATTTAACAGGGAGCAAATAAAAAGTATATATATGTGCTCATTCTAGTCCCTGTCTAGTACTCTCGCAGCAGCATTTTAGAATGAAGGATAGCTGGTTATAGCATACTTTTAAATGATGACATCGGTGCATTCTCAACTTGCACTACAAAAGAGAAGCGTGGAACTCAACTAGTCCTGAAATCTATAGGTTTCTTTATATAATAACGGCAGGAGGCCACTGAAAAAACAGTTTATTTAAGCAGGGCCTTAAACATAACTCCAAAATTTCTGCCAATAGACATGACCAAGATGGCTGCCAAGTGGTCAGACTTGTTTCTATGTGAACCAATAAATGTGAAAGTCAGAAAGAAGCCATATTTGTGTGTACAGTAGAAAATGCTTTAAATGATGATATCATTGAGGAGTAATCTAGACATACAGTTTGCAGACAAAATAATAAAATGACCAGTTGTGTTGAACTTATTTGTTATTTGTTAAAATACTATGAATATAATTTTGAATGTAAAATATTAATGTATTTTGATGTAAGAGGTAAACTACACAATATGTATATCAAATTATTGGTTATTTCTATCATCACAAACTACCTTGATGTGCATTTGAAAAATGTGTATGTGTACTGCTTATACTGGTGTTTTAATGCTTTGTGTACTTCTTAGAGTTGTAATATAAATGTTCTTTACTCACTGTTGCCGTTCAAAGTCTAAAAGATGTAACATTTACACTCAAACCTTTTGAGTGGATTTTTTCGGAGTATTGTGTTGAAAACAAAACATATTCAATCTTGGCTGTAAATGTGTTAAAAATACACATTCAAACCCATTTTTAAATTGTGTCTAGAATTTGTTTGTTTAGTTTTGCATCAGGAATAAAATGTTACTTTCACAGTGATTAGCCCCACTGTGAAATGTAGGAATGGCAAAGCTTGACTTCATATCTTAATTGGTCAAGCATGTAGTGAAAATTCACCTAAACTCTCTCACCAACCGGCTAAGGTCCCACTTCCACACTCTCCTGTCGTTCCTGTTATTAGCAAAGGGACTCCATAACAATAGCGACAAGCTGAGTGATGATGCATCACAACAGTTCACGTTATTGTCCTTATTTCAGCCTCACCACCCCTGAAAAAGACAAAAAAAACCCAAAAAACAAATCGCCTCACTTTAACTTTATTTCCGGCAGCCACCTGTGTGTAACAGAAACAAGGAAAAGAAGAGACTACGTGTTGTGGTCAAGAAACACATAACATGTTATAGGATCCACATTCTCATCATTACGAAGACAACAGCTAAAACAATCTTATCTGCAGACATGCAGATGATGGGGTCAACATGCTAAATGATTTTCAAGTCATGGTACTCATGGTACTCTCAGTGAAAATTGGCCTCATGTCGATTAATCAGCCACTTACCATTTTATTCTCCCCCCAAAAACAGTTTTGAGTACTTTGTTTCTGTGCCAGAACAACATATCACATAACAAAGCACCTAAAGGTCTACATTAGAAGATAACTCAGAAAAGCTGCAGATTTCAGCATGTTAACGTCACTGGTTTTCCACAGAGGACCCTTTTAGCAAGTGCTGCAGGCTCCTGGGATGCTGAGTGTTGCGCTGCTTTACAAAACACCACATGTCTAGCTGACGGCAGTGTGGGGTAGCAAGTAGAAAATAATAGGGTAAGTGCTTTGACATTTTGGCAGCGTGTGCTTTTGCTTTTACAAGTTTAAATTGAGGCAAATTTTTAGAATGAAACCTCGGACAAGTCAAAAGCTCAGCAGGAGTGAGAAATGCAGCTGATGGTCACAGATGGTGTGAGCAATACAGCGGATTGTCTTTCTTACCAGTTTACAGCCTGCTGTGGCACAACAGGGAAAGTAATGAAAGTTGTTTTGTTTTTTAAATCAAAAGGGTAAAATTACAATAAACAGATTCGACATTTTTCATGACAACACTAAACCAGTGGGGGCGAACAACAGCAGGAAACAAATTTCACAGTCCGCCTCCTGAAATTAGATCCTTTTGTTTCCATCTATTCATCGTAGCTCGACAGGGAAACTGTAAAGGGGTGCGCTTTCTTATCTCAAAAAGGACCATTTAGAAAAATGGAAAATACAAGTTTCAGTTAAACTTTTTACCACACATTGCACATGAGTTTCCTCCTGTCTTACTTCTCTCTCACAGCAGATGGCCCCGCCCCTCCCTGAGCCTGGTTCTGCTGGAGGTTTCTTCCTGTTAAAAGGGAGTTTTTCCTTCACACTGTCGCCAAAGTGCTTGTTCATAGGGGTCATATGATTGTTGGGTTTTTCTCTGTATTTATTATTGCAGGGTCTACCTTGCAATATAAAGCGCCTTGAGGCGACTGTTGTTGTGATTTGGCGCTGTGTAAATACAATTGAATTTAATTGAATGAGGACTGTGTATCAGGGGAAGTGCATCAGAACGAGAGCGTCTAATAAGTTCACTAAAAACTCAAGGGATGCAGATTTGTTCACACTATGTGTCATCACCTCTCAAAGTGTCTTCTGTTTAAACCTGGATTTTTTGTGACATCTCAAAACATTTTATCATGGCATTTTAATTCCTGCCGGCCTGTTATTTTGCTAAAGTAACTGTATGACACCACAAAACAATTTTAAACATCTCTATCTGGTTTTGTTTAGCAAGCTATTTGTGCTCAGGGCCAGAAGTCCACTGAAGGAAATTCACACAAGTGATGTATATTTACAGGTATTAACCATGTGTGCCTCTTCTTTAAAATTGAAAAGGCATTGCTAATAGATTTTCAAGGCTTTTCAAGATAATCAAATCTCTCAGGGCTGGAGGCAGCGTAGTTTTAGCTGTTGTTAAAACAATATCTGGTTTTCAGGCAGAACGTTTCTCCTGAGGAATCTGCTGGATCAGCGTAATCATTACCAACAGGTACCATCAGCCACATGATTCTCTGGAACATCTGCAGTTTTCATATGTACCTACTTGACATATCTGAACAAGTTGAAAAAGGTGTCACGGTTCTGGGTCAGTTTCCACCCAGTATTTTGAGGTTATTATGTTTTGGTTTACTTTTGCATCAGGGATTGTTTTCTTGTTCTCTTGTTGTGTTAATGATGATGATTATGATGTTTATTATTAGAGTTTCATGTTTCTGTTTGTCTTTAGGATTTGTTCTTCGGTTGGGTCTGCTTAGTATATGTCTAGTTCCATGTGTCATTTTCTGTCTGTCTCTCAAATGTCGAGTCTGCGTCTTAGTGTGATGGTTTCTTGTTCCTGTTTTATTGTGAAGGTCTGCGTCTCATGTGAGTGTGTTCAGTTTTACCTCTCGTCTCGTTAATGACTTCCAGCTGTGTCTCCCACCTGTGTGTAATCTCCCTGTGATTCTCTGAGTGTATTTAAGGCGTGTCTTCTGTGTTTGTAGTTGCATGTCGCACCTGTGTGTTCTCCCTGCTGGCCATCGTCATTCTCCTCTGCTCGTTTTCATTCAGGTTTGTGCTCGGTAGTTTAGTTGTTTTCCAGTCTAGTTTAGTTCGAGCTCCATTTGCTGTTTGTCCATATTTATTTCGTGTTCAATAAACCACCTTTGCATCTTCACGACTGCCTGCAATTGGATCCTCATTTATTATTTTCACACGGCTTATCTCACTCGCTGTGACAAAAGGTAAATTCTTTTATAATACACGTGTAATTTGTGGAGGTGGCTTTTTTGCAAATGTCACACTGTGTGCGAGGTCAGGCTACTTTTTGGAGTAAAGTTGTGCGATAGGAGTGAGAGCAAAAGAGAGAACGGGTGAGAGTGGGAAGCATTTTTTCCTTGTAGTTTTGTGTGATATTTCTCATAATGCTACTTGAATCTGACTTTTTGAGGGGAAAATTTACAAATGTCAGAAATGCAGACTATTTTATCCTCAGACTTTCATCCACTTACTAGATTTCATATTATATCTAACCCACAACTCTGTAACTCGCTCCATAGATAAACATGTTATGTTACAGCAGCATATTCATTACTGAGACGTGTAAGTATTGTAGATATACCGTATGCACAGTTTCCGATATATCTACATATAATGTTTAATCAAATTTAATATGAGAACATTTATGAATGTTTCCACATTCATGGATAAATCATATCATGAGACATAGAAGTTATACAGTGCATACAAAACAAATATTTACTAGTGATGGCAATTCATAATTCAGGGTTTTTCAATCCTTTCATATTTGAATTGTATTAACTATATATAAAATTAGTTTATATTTAAATCAGTGCAGGACCTGAGGAGGTCTTCTGATCTAATTTAAGATGATGACTAAGTCTAATTGACTGCCCCATCCAGACAGCAGCATGAAACAATGCTCCCACTGTGCTTATCCGGCCATGTAAGAGTAATCCAACAACGTAGTGGTGAATGGAGCCCATTTGTTCTGACTTATCACGCCGGTCTGTCTCATGTGTGCTGCAGGACAGTGAGTCCTCGACACGGTTAAATAAAAGGGACTTGATTGCCTTTTATTCCTCTTAATTGGCTTTGGGACCTGCAGTAATTTAACAGCTGTAGTGAAATATCTACATACTTGAACGAACTTATCCTGCTCTAACCAAAGACTATGATGAGGCAAGAAAAACTTGGTCCCTTTGTTCTCACTTGCTGGTTGGGGTTTCTCTTTGGGCCAGTGTGAAGCAAAGAGTAATCAGGAGTCTGATCAGGTGACATCATGTAGCCTTGTAACCTGTCCTTGCTGTATATGGGACCCCAGGGTGAACATCAGTTGGAGGTGTGAAAAGGGAGCGTTTTGGGGAACTGAGTGAGGTCCTACATCAGCAACTCAGATGATGCTAAAAATAATCAGCTGTGTTAGTCAATTCAGTTCAAAGGTCCTGGGTTCAAATCCGCTGGCTGGCACTTTGTTAAGTGGAGATTTTGTGCTCTTCCTGTGCCTGTGAATAACTGTCTGGCTCTCGCTGTGTGTATGCTGGCCTTTCCAGCATGTATGCTTCCTCTTGCTCTGTGACAGCTGGGATAGACTCCAGCCCCACTGCAACCCTGGCTTGTAGAAGCAGAAGAAAACAGATGGCTGGCTAAATGAATAAAACTGTGTGGATCAGCTGTGAGGCATGCAATGAGGAAGCATTTTTTAAACATTAATACTGACACTATGGGAAAAGGAATTTCCCATTTAGGAGTTTCAGCACCTAGGTGCTTTAATTTGCATGTTCTCCCTCCCTGTCATTCCTCCCACAGTCCAAAGAGGTGCTTATGAAGTTAACTGGTCTAAACAGACTGTGGATAGGAATGTGAGTGTGTGATTGTTGGTCCTGGTTGTACCTCACCTGTTGTCCGTTGACAGCTAAGATACGCTTCAGAAAATGGCTAGATGGGCGGTTTGGCTCGATCCTCACATTTCTTCATTTTATCTATCTGAAAATTGTTAAAAAATAGTCATATTTAATTCTGTAAAGAGTTGGTCTGGTCTTCAGGCAGAATGTAACAGAAAAACAAACATGTTTCATGATTGATGTGCTGGCTTGTATGAGCACAAACTGCACTTGGTTGATAAGTGTCACTCTTTGTGGTTAGTTGGTGCATTCACGTATATATTTTTAATAACTGCAGCCTGTTTTTAGAATAAGACATTTTTATTTGTGTCCATTTTCATCTTTTGCGATAGGACTTGCAAATACCACATGAAAAGGAACTGGAAGTGCGGCGTGATGATTTAGGAAAAAAACATAAATGAGAGAAGTGGACAATGTCCAGTTGATTCTGTTGGTGTTAATGTGATGTTTCTGCTGTTTTGTCTCCTGCAGCTTATTGGCTTTTCATTTCTACTGACCAGCAGTCAGCCACATTACCTCTCTTCCTAATGCTCTGTTTGACCACAGGTATTATCACCATCATCATTACCTGTGTTGGCCGCAAAATACCCTGGAACAATTTCAATTTTCAAGTGCACCTTCTTCCTGGAGGGGTTCAGCTACATTAGTTACTATTGTAACTAATGTAGCTTGTGGGAGATTGAGGGAATGGTTACCTCTAAAGGTAAATCTTCAATACTAACATATACATAAAAATGCTATAGCTTCAATATCATCTTTTACACTTAACAAATGCCTTAGAACAAACCTTCTGCCAAGATCAAAATAAAGGAGCTAAAGTATTCGGTCTAATGGTGGTCATTGCGCTAACATAGTAATAAAATTGCAATACGATAACATAAAGGTGCAAAACGTTTGAAGTTCTTGGCCTAACTGCATCATCCCAAGGCTTAGCAGCAAGACTATTAAATTTCACAGATAAGATGAATTTTACCTTGATGGGGTGATGTGGGCAAATCGTTGTACCACCCACTTGAAGTGTTAATAATTTAACCACAGCAGCGGTAAAGCTGCAGTCGTGCCATGTTTAATGGCACCACAAAGACAAAATACACAGAACTCCTAACTGTTGAATATTTCTTAACATTGCAGTGGATTTTAATCCCAGAAATGAGCCTGCCGAAAGGTAATTATTCAGGAAGCCTGGACATGTGACCATAAGGACCCTTCATATCAAAGGAAAACTTGCCTTTCACTGGAGCTCTTAATATACACTTTCTCTCGCTCTCTGTTGTAATATATATATGCAAAAGTCTTGATCCACACCTTATCTCTTTACATTTTACTCGTCAAATATATATGAAAATACCATATAGAGAGAAAGTCAGTATTTAGTGTGACCTCCCTTCAGTCTTTTATATTGCTTGAACCTTTGGCAAGCTTTCTTCAAAGCTCTTCTTTGGATGTTTCTGCCTTTTGTTCTATTTTCGGTCAAGACGATCCCACAATGCAATAATGTTCAGCGCTAGCCTCTAGATGCACCAGTAAGACCTGTTGCCATGGATTTTCAGTGCAGTTCTTGTGTAATTTGACATACTTCACCCTTTCCCCCTGTTCTCCTTTCCTTAAGTATGGCTTTGTGAAAACCGCCACGAGACTGTAGCAGCATAGCCACAGCATAATTTGCAGTCAAGCAGTTTGGCATTATATAAATAAAATTTAATTGATTTGGAAATAAGATCCAGCCCTGGCTATGAACTTTATCAAAAGTACACCTTCAAGCCTAATCTTAAAAGTACAGGGAGTGCCTGTCTCCAGAAGCCAGACAGGGAGTTGAGTGGAGTCCAAAACTCATATAATCCTGCCCTACTGAGATAACTGGACATTATACAAGTCTGTAAGATATTATGAGGTCTTACATCCTTGGAAATATGAGAGCATGTTCTGTCTTTCTGTTCCCCGTCAGTATTCTGAATGTGCTACCTTCCTCCAACTGTAATTTCTTTATATAGTTACTTTAAGTTACGAACAATTGCAGAGAGAAATGGTTATGTCCACGCAGTCATGCAAAAATTATTAGGAGGCTGGTGCAGTGGATGACAAGATAACTACACAAGGGAGGCATTTTTAACTTTGCTTCGCTCTTACATCTGTTTCATAGCAACAGAGCTAAAATGATTCATGTCTCACAGTCACATCCTTTATTTCTAACTAAATACACTTTCTGGTTCTGCAGAAGCATAAGATCTACTGACCGCACCAGGTCATACCCGGAGATCCTCGAGCAATGGTTTGTTGTCTTTTTCCACGGCCTGGGGGAAAAGAAGGGGACAGAGTTTGCAATCAGACCTCAGAAGCGCTGTATCAGCCTACAAATTAAGAAATTAGGATGGCAGTCAGTTGCTTTATTTAGGTCATGTCTTTTATAAAAAGCTTTCCATGATTTTGACTTTCTTTTTTTCTTTTTTTTGTCATTTTGTTTCATTCTGCCTCACCTGTAAAACACTTTGCAATGGTTTTACATTTAAATTGTATGACAAAGCGAAGAACCTGAAATTATTTCATAATGGACATGCAGCTATGACCTCCTTCACACCGAAGTAATCACTTTTTGTTGGTCACTTGAATGTGTTGTTTACACGTCTTTGGAGGGTTGATAGAAAAACAAGCAATGCCATTCACCAAAATAATATCAATTTTATGTTTACTATTAAAGCTATCGCGGTTTACAATGGAAATTAAAACGTAAATCATATCATCAGTTTAAATTCTCTCATTTGCAGAATGAGCAATGATGCTAATAAACTTACTGACTAATGAACATCTGAAGATTTCATTTCTGATTATTTGATATGCGTGGAGGATTTATCTGTCTTTGCAAAAAGCTCATGAGACCCAGCGCATGGCTAAACCCTCAGTCTTAAGTAGTGCACATGTATTTTTTTTTTTTCTACTAAATATTTAATTCTGATACTATTGCACGTGCCTCCTGAAAAGAAATGTTGGATATTTCCATGACACAAATTTCCATCTTGGATGCTGCCTGTTTTATCTTTTTGCCCCCCGGCGAGGTGAGTAATGATGGCACTTCTCTGAAGGATGTAGCTTAAATCCCTTAAAGCTTGTAAAGGCCTCCAACTGTGCATTTTAGCAATGTCAGAATTTCACCTTCCCCCTCAAATGTCTGAAAATCACTGAAAATGAAATCTCAGCAGGACACGAGGTCAACTTGAATGAGCCACTTGAAGATCAAAGGAAACACTTTTATTCTATTATTCTATTGCCCTTGCAGTCTATTAAAGCACTACCTGTCTGCCAAAGAAGCCTGCTGCTCATTTTTCTTTAATGCTCATTTTTCATTGACTCTAAATTTGCATACTGCGGATTGAAAATGTCTTTAAACTAGGCTGGAGCCTACTTTAAGATGCCATAAAGGCTGAGAGGCAGGACGAACCGTGCACAGAGTGCCAGTGGATACGAGGATTAATGCCCCATTCATGCTCATATTTACACACCTACGACCAAACTAGAACTACTGGTTAACCTAACACATACAGATGTCTTTGGGAGGGCGTCTAAGTACCCAGAAAGGTCCTGCACAGGGAAAAATTGTAACTGCACCTAGTCAGGCTCCAGCTAAGGGTTTGAACCCAGAACTTTCCTGCTGTGAGTTGACATTTCTAACCACTGTGCCGCCTCCTGAAGCTGCTGTAGCTTATCCGCTCCAAGCTTCGGCATGTTCTCCGGTAACAAGTGGCTAGTTGAGTTGTCGTTGCCTTTCAATCAGCTCAAAGCAATTAGTCCACTCCCCTCTGACCTCTGGCACCAACGAGTCATTTTCAATCACAGAAATGCAATTCACTGGACATTTTCTTCTTTGCAGTCTATATAAACCATACACCACACACAACAAACCATAGTGATTGTTGTGTGTGGAGGTCGCAGTGGATCACTAGTTTCAGAAACACTCAGAACAGTTTGTCTGGCACTAATAACATTTTCTTCCCCATCCTGATTCTCATTTTAACCTGCTGAGTCTATCAACAGTTTGCCTTCACCATGTCTACATGCTTGAGTGCGCTGAACTGCTGCCATGTGATTGACTAAATAACATATTATAAAGCAGCTAAACAGATGTTCTTATGAAGTAATCTGTGAATTTGTGTAGCGAATGTAATGTATATCTAACAACATAGTAACTGAAATGTGCACAAACTCAAATAATATCTTATGTCATGATTGCTTAATTAGGCCATTTTACTTGGTGTAAAACTCAGAAATCGTGTCATTTGACACATAAAAATGGCTGAAGACTTGATGCTGGGGCAGATGGGGGCTCTAGTACTTATCACACACAGGAGTAGACTGACATCAGGCACGTTCTCACCACTTGAAATCCTCTGTTTGATTTAGCCAAGGTGTGACACCTGGATAGAGCATGCAGGAGGCAGGACATCACACCCGCTAGCTTTGAATTTTCTGAATATATTATCTGCTTTTCTCCCATACTGGCTCAGTCAGACATTAAACAGACTTTGTTCAGGGGAGCAAGTGCTGCAAAGACTGCTCAAAGATATTCATCGACACATGCAGCTCTGCCAGCTAATGCCTAGAAAGGCTCACGGCTCCCGGGCATGTGTGAAAACGGCTATAGACAGCCATCCCCAGGGGGAGAGGTGAAGACAAGGAAAACAAAGCCTGATGAATTCATCGCCACAACTCTCAACACAGAGTCTGTCAGTACAATGTAAAATGCAAACGCACGACCTTAAACGCAACCACTTAAACCCATCTGGGAGCGTGGAAACAAAAGATGAACCCTCGGCTGAAATTGCCCTGTCAAATAGGAACAACATTAATCTCACACAGCTGACATAAGCTTAGATCTTGTTTGATTTCAAAAAAGAAAACAAGGTGCACAGAGTGCATTATGGGCTCATTTCATCCCCCTTGTGTACTCTAAAGATGTCATTATGATCTAAGACAAGAGTTAGGAACAAAGGGCAGAGATATGAGAAGAACACACTGAGAACTAAGAAGCCGTAATAACATCTGGTGCATCTTGGACCAAAAAAGGAGATTATTTGGTTAATCATGAAAGGGGCTTATTTTCCTGTCCTACTTTCAACATTTCGGCATCAAGGAGACAAGCTGGGTCCTTCGTTATAGGCTCTGACTGATGTCAAAATGTCCACATGAGGGACAGGAAAACCAGCCCTGCTCAGACACAGACCCAGACACTGGCTAAAAATAAATAAATAAATAGAAACATAAACATTTACAATACCTTTATGCTAAACTATAGACTAATTAGTCTTGCTAAAACCAGCGAAGCAAGAGAAAGCATGGCTTCCTCTCTGCTATCTTTTAACAACTGTGTTTTTGAGTGACTATTTTGCATTTTGGTCATGTAAAATTAAGTTACATTATACATAATTACAATGATGCACTTTACTGACTCTGCAGACGCGCATAAAGAGACTACAAAACAGGATTGCATAAAAAACACTCTTGCTGCTATAAAAATCAAACCATGGTACAAATATGGGGGCTAAAAGCAGGAGATCAGGTAGGCTTGGGGCTTAAGAGGTTAAATGTCTCGTTACCAAGGTTACCAGTAAAACAAGGCACTAGTGCAGTGGTGAGTTTTCTTGTCGGCTTTTCACCATAAAGTTTTGTTCGTTTCTTTGTTTATTTGTTAAGCCACACAAGGCATCTAACACAAGGCATGAACCGCTGTTACATCTGGTGTGTTGTTCACAACAGACAACTTGGCAAAGAAGTTTTAAATTGAACTTTTAGACACTTCGTTACACTTTGTGTTGGGATCTTGTCAAAACTGATGGATTTATGAAAGCAGAAAACTGTCAGATTTTCATCCAACCTTTAGTACAACATCTGTTTGACAACAGCTTTATTTTTTTAGTATGAAAATGATCCCAAACACACTGCCAGTGCAGTAAAATCATACCTGGAACACTATCCTCCCCCAGAGCCTACAACATTATTGAAGCAGTGTGGGATCATCTTGAGAGAACAGAACAAAAAGCAGTCGACATCCAAAGAATTATATTTTAATTCAATTCAGTTTTATTTATACAGTGCCAAATCACAACAACAGTTGCCTTGAGGTGCTTTACATTGTAAGGTAAAGATTCTACAATATTGCAAAGAAAACAGAGAAAACCCCAACAATCACATGGCCCCATATGAGCAAAGCTGTGGCGACAGTGGGAAAGAAAAACTCCCGTTTAACAGGAAGAAACCTCCAGCAGATCCATGCTAAGGGAGGGGCGGCCATCTACTGCGACCGGTTGGGGTTAGGGGATGAAGACAGGACAAAAAACATGGTGTGGAAGAGAATGTAAATAACTGAATGCAGAGAGGCGCAAAAAAGAAAAACAAGAAGAGCTTTGAATGTCCTTCAATAACGCTGGAGAACTATTCCTGAACACTACCTAAAGGAAACTTGTCTGAGAAAGTTCAGGATGTGTATTAAAGTATTAAAGAGCTGACGGGATGGCTCAAGACTTACACAATACTCATACTGTGTATGGATTTGTCTTGACTGATATGATTATGAGTTGTGCCAAAAGCATCTCTGTAAAGAAGCTCCTAATCCTCATAAGTGTTTCCCTAGATACCTCTCTTTAACACACTCAAAGATTACCAATTTACACAGCCTTGTCTCGGGCTAACAGATAATGGTAGAGATCATGGTTGCTGTAGAAACCAGACAATATTTCAATAAACTCTAAGGTGAAGGAAAAATGCACCTGTTCCCTGTGCCCTACAAACAGCCATCTATAACAAAAAAGAGTAAATTGCTCTCTGTGGTAATGCTTCCTCCTTACGTTGCCCTCTGGGAATGTAATGTTTTGTAAATTGGCATCTAATCTTTCAATTCAAAGGCCATCACTGATGTCCTGTATGTATCGAAAATTGGAAAAATGAAGCCTGACAAAACCACTTCAAGGTTGTGCTCTGACCTTCCTTTTGTTTGGAGAATTTGGTGCTGTTCTTTGTAATAACGTCTGTCAATCAGCAGACAAAGTAATCAAATAAATGAAAAAAGCACTCAGCTTCATTGAATTTACATGCACATTGCATTCACCTGCATTGCAACTGGGGCTACCAACCATTTAATCACCACCAGCCATTGCAAGTTAAAGACAGAGCTTAGAGTTGAGTGTTTCCTGATATCACCAGGAACAATCTCTCATAATTAATCTGCTATTAAGTAACAAGCATCTACTAAAGCCCTTTAGCAACTCCCCCCCCCCCCCCCCCCCTTTTTTTTTTTTGAAGGCTTTAATGTAACAGACAAAATATGGTGGAGAGGATTCCTCAATAACTCTTCATTACTAAATAAATATACTTATAATATGATTTTTTTTATTTGATATAAACTGTACATCTGTGTCCCTCTGTAGTCATAAATGGATTGGTTCTTGTATAGTATTTGTCACATCATTCCCTCACACATTCATCCAAACACTTTTTCTATGTCTATGTCTTTTTTTTTCCTTATCTTTCTACTGTAAGAGCTTTCTATTCTATGCAGTGTCTTACCCAAAGATAGTTCGGCATGCAGACTGGAGCAGCCATGGATGAAACCACCAACCTTCCAATTAAAATACTCACTGATCTACTTCCTGAGGCACAGCCACCGCTTTCATCTGTTCGCCTATTCATCCACCCACAAACTCCTACACAGTTGAGCTACATCTGTAAATGTACATGTGTGTCAGATCTATGTCGCAGACTGGAATCCCTTTGTAAACATTCACCTAAACCTTCTACAGAAGCTGCACCTCCTGAGATATGTAGCTACACGCCGGGTTGAATGGCCTTCCACTTGAATGGTGTGGAAGGCTGCAGTGTAAGGATGGAATGATTACTACATAAGGTAGGACGTAGATTTCCTGCAAAATTCTAAATCAAGCGTCGTACTCC